GCTCAATATTGGGGGATCGAGATGTCTCAATTGAGCGGCGCCACATTTACAAGCCTGGATTTTGCGTTAACATCCAAAGAAGGAGAGATTTATAAGCTTATTCGCTTGCTCTTCGGGCGCCTATGAAATAGTATGCAAATAAAAAGAATGAAATATTATATAAATGTATACTTAAAAGCCCTTGGCAACAATTAAAGGGTCAGCATAAATGGAGTTTATTAAAGAACGGCATAATGGCGTTCGAGATAGACACCGAACCCAACAACATTGGGTTATTGTATCTGAAAATAATTATTATTTTTCCTATTTAAGTAGAGTTTCGAGACTACCAGTAAATCAGTAATATGAGCTGCATTCCCCCTATTTCGTTTAAGGTGCTAAAAAAAGAATGGTAGTAGAACTTTCCCACAATGATATGAGTAGAGCTGACGTTTGAATTGAATTTCACATTGCCTTGATTTCACAAAAGTTGTTCTTATCCCGGCTGGAGTAAACTGCAGTTTCGACCTCGCCTCGGTCATATCAACACCTCCAGCGGGAATCGAACCGTGATCGGGCAGAATGTGGGCTTGATATATTAACCACTCAGTCACATTGCAACGAGTGCCATTGCGTCACAGGGCAGATGTGAATTTCGAGGAAGACCAGGCCTTTGCCCATATCACATTCGTTGGTGGGATTGACGATGGAGCAAACGTGTGTTTGCAATAGCAATCGACTGCATTAAATTTGCTTCATCGACACTCTCACCAAAGAATGTGATATGGCAAAATGCCTGGTCTTCCTCGAAATTCACATCTGCCCTGTGATCCAAGGGTACTTGTGGCAATGTGGTGGAGTGGTTAATATGTCAAGTCCACATGCTGCCTCATCACGGTTCGACTCCCACTTGGGGTGTTGATAAGACTGATGCGAGGTCGAAACTGCAACTTTTAGGAAAGCAAAGCTATGTGAAATTCAATGGAAACCTCAGCTCTATTCATATCATTGTGGGAAAATTCGACTACCCTTTCTTCATCACATTAAACAAATCTCATATTAATCATTTTTTTATTAATTGTTACATTTTGGCTTTACGAACGGTTGGAATGGGTGCCATTAGGGCAGACAATAAGGCCTAGGTGTTGCATGAATATTCTATATAGCTACATCGTTTTGGTTAAAACTAGAACTAAATCTAAAGTTTGCCAAATTAATTGTTGGCTAAGGTTTGTTTTTGCAGTCTTCAATTTGCATAACCACTTTTCGCAGACCGGTATGAATTCAAGCTATAGTTATTTGGTAAAATTTTAATCGTAAAAAAGCTTTTCACTTAGCCAAAATTTTGTTGTCCCATTATATTTATCTGCATAAAATCATCCTTAACACATAGACTCAGATTCGGACTCTTCTTCGGATGACGGCTCCGATTGGGACGAGTCCGAAGAGGAGAGCGATGACGAAGAGGGCACCATCATGGACTTGGATATGTGCCCTCCCGGATGCGACCAGGGGGATTATGATAACACTGTAGCACAGCGAGAAAAACGCCTAGACGTAGAAGACGAGATGGCCGAGGAAAAAAAGCTGCTCGAGGTGTGGCGCAAGGAAGTTGAAGCTCTGACCAAAAAGCAACGCGTTGTGGAAATTGGGCTTAACCAAGCAGAAGCCGAATTAGAAGCATTTCAGGTGATTTTCTGCTTTTTGTTATTTATGATATTAGGAAAGAAGAGACGAAGAGAATCGTTTAGTATTTTGTTTCTTTACGAATCAATTTAAATCTGTATTGTTAATATCGAAATGTGAAAATATTTTATTCAGATAGCTTGAGCTATGATTAAATATCAAGTATTGAGGTTGTTTGACCCAGTCCTATTGATAGGAAGACTTAGAGCAACACACCTTGTCCGGAATCCATTGTCTGCATGATCATTTCCAAAATTGAACAGTGGACGTGGTACGTTGAAAAACATTTCACCGAA